GCCTGGGAGTCCGTGTCCCCCCACAGCAACTCCACCTCTGAAGACCGTCCCGGTCCCGGCCGCTGCTCCGCTGCTCCTGGGGAGGAGCCCTCCCTCCCCTCGCCGTTCTGTGCCGGCAAACATCCTCTTGCAGCCCCGCTTGGATTCGTGGGCGTTCCGAACCGGATTTGGTGCTTTTCCAAGGAGCCTGTCAAACCTCTCTCTTACCTCAGTGCTGCCTTGCGTGCTTAACTTGTCAAAGTTCATGATGTGTTTTCCTTATTCCTGTGCGCATCTTCTTATCTTGCTTGCTTTTTAAAGAGCGCCTTTTATGCTTCTGCTGATGAGGGAAACTACAGCACTTTTTTTCTGTTTCTCTTTCTTTTTTCCTATTTTAATCTCTTCTGAAAGTGGTATGCAGAGTGCTGTCTTTAAATAGTACCCACGCCCCAGCATGCAAATATTTATCTGTTTCGCTCCGTTAGTTTTCTCTCACTTCCTCCTGTTAGTGCAGTTTTGCGTTTTGAATTAAACACGACTGGGAGGAAAGGAGACTGTGCTGATTGATGGTTTTCTTTGTAACTTGTTTCTGCAAGAGTGTCCAAGGTAAGCACAGGATTAGATGACCCATTAAAACAACATCCAGCCGAACGCACCATCTGAAGACTTGTGGCCCAATGAAGGGAACCATTCTGGAGTCAAAACTTTTCTGTTAGTGGTGACATGCTAAAAATCACTAATATGTGGATATGCTTAGGGATAATGTTATTTTAAGTTAGAAAAAATAAAATCATGTGCAAAACCTGGAAGACGTTCAAAACATCTTGAAGCCCATCTCAACGAATAAATATATTCATTCAAGTAAAACTTTTATGTATAAAAAAAAGTAAGTATTAAATCTCACCTATGAAATTATAATGAAGTTTTTAATATCTTCCTTTCCTACGTCTGGCTAAAATCTGCAAGAACAAAACGAACAACTCCACACCAGGAAGGAGGGTGTGAAGATGAATCTTCCATTGGAAGTGCACCAGCCTCTCTGCTGTACTTGCTGCTCCCAACGGCCTTCATGCTCACATCTGGGGATTTAGACACAGTAGACTGACTGTGTTTTCTTTGGGATACTTTCTTTGGCGAATTGTTAATTGTTAGTTTAATGAAAAGCCTGCAATATTCCATCAGGTCTCTTTGGTATTGTTCAGGGTCAGTGATTGATTGTGTTGTATTTTAAGGTATACGTGGCTAGCCAGTCGATGCTTATTGTGCTCGTGGGAGCTGTGCCCAGGTACCACATAGACCAGGAGGGAATTCCAGCGAGCAGAGCTGAGCTTGCCAAGCACATCCGTTTTGCCAGCAACTTCACATCCATCGTCACTGAGGCGAGTACTTCCTTCAGTGTCATCAGTTCTTCTCTTCTTGGGATTTGTGCCACTGGTGCAGGACATGGCATGTGGAAAAGCCAAGCAGGGCTTAGTGTAATGTCTGGCTTATGCTACTAAAAATCTTTAGAAGCCACCATTTGGCTCTTTGACTTTATTATTATTTTTAAATCGGAAAGTATGTGACTGAATTATTAGTTTAGTTTTCCTAGTGTAAATCTAATACTTATTAATTTAGGTTGAACTTTCTGTATGTTACTTATTTTCAGTTTTACCTTCAGCTGTTTTAGAAAGTTATTATTAATGAAGAATGATCATTTAATTACAGTTTATAACTGGAATTGAGGATGAGCTCCTCCTAATGTCTGTTGAGTGCTGAGAGATGTTCAGTCTGTCGTGCCTGCACAATCTGCTGTGCATGTAAGCTTGGCCATGAGTTACATTTGTTCCTTACAGAAGATGAAACCAATATGAAAATGGAACTTGTGCACCACACGTCTGGATATTTTAATGTGTGGTGAGAGCGGGAGATGGAACAGATTGAAGTTTGCTGAGGGGGACAGAAGCCTTATTCTTCATCCTTATGCCTTATGAATTCCGGTCAAGAGGTTCTGCTTGCTTTTCCCTGGTCCCTGGGCTGTAATCCCTCAGACAGGCACGAGTGACCTGAGCAGTGCTGCCAGTGCCAGAAAACAGGCTGTGTGGGTGGCTGGAGTGGTGGCCTGAACTGCTGGAATTCTTGGAGCAGTTCTCAGTAAACTCCTATAAGACAGGTTAGCACTTAATGTAGCTGGTGCCAAATTTTACTGCCTTCCTGTTATCTCAAGTGTGACTGTGTGATGTTTACCTTGGAGAAATATAGTGACTAGACATTGGAAGAATGATGCAATATTGGATCATATCCTCTGTCAGAAACAGATTTTTTTGATTAGCAAGATCACCCTTCAGTTCCAGACTTTCAGCAGGATGCCTGATGTGGGGTAGTGCTTAATTTATAACCAAAAATCAACAAATTTTAACTAAGACTGTGTTTCTAAATGTAGGAGGCAGTGTCCCTATTTTCAAAATATGTGGTAATTCCCAAGATTCATCAAAACAGATTTATGTTCCCATGCGTTTTGGTAACTTTAAGATTTTTTAAAACTGTATTGTTAACAGTCTTCTTATGGAATCTTTAGATGCTGACCAGCATTTTGCTGCTAAGGGTCTAGTGAGTAAATCACACTTCCACATGGATATAAAGAGCTGAGAGGATGTCTGTTTTGGTGAGAGCAAAATTGGCAATGCTTTTGTTGGCAAGCTATAGTTCATTTTGAAAAATATTTAACAAGTTCTCTTTGTGCAAATAAAATAGATGGATGCATTCTTTTAAAAGTTACATTCTTCACAGCTCGTTACATTAGACTTGTTAAAATACAAACATGCATCCACCGAGCAGCACAAGGAACAGTTGGCAAAAGCAATCTTTCCTGGTTCTGCCCTGAGAAAGGAAGCTGCTTCTGTAAAGTTTATTTTCTTTATTTTGGCATTGGAGATTAAACTTTGTGGAGATTAAATATTCTCTGTTCTGTTCTGGTTATCCAGGGGAACTGTTCTCAAAAAACCTCCAGAGCAGCTCTTGACTTCTGCTGCAGGAACTAATTGTTGTAATTAATTTTGGCATAACTAAGAATTCATAAATAATAGCTTAGGCTTAGGTTATGAAAAATTGTTAGAATTGCTTCTTGCTCCGGCATCAACTCAGTCCCCTGCTTTAACAAGTGATGGTGCTTAGGGAGGTGAGTTCAGGATTGGACAGTGAGTTCAGGAACTTCTACATTTGGTGTAGAAATGGTCCCCTACTCTTGAGAAGTGGATTTTTGCAACCATATCCAGGAGCATAAAGTTGTGTGGTCTCTTGTATCAACCTGAAATACTCTGCAGGCAAGAACTGGGAGTTTGAAATCTGTATGGTGTAGAGTGCTAGAGTGGAGAAGGAGTGCTCTGTGCCTTGGAGAGCACATGCAGTGATATTTTTATTCTTTAATTTTCCTGAGGGTTTGTGCCCAGGGGTATTTCATTGTTGAAGTCTCAGAAAGTTAAGAAACCATAAGTTTTGGGGCTACATCTTCATTCAGTGTGACACTCATCTGCTTTTTTGGAAATAAATTTTCCAGTAAATACTCTGGGAATTATTTGAAATACTCAAATAATGATGAAATAGTTCTCTGGGTAAAGCTTTGTGTTGAATTAGTTTATTTCCTTTCCTGGAAAATGACTTAGGATTTTCTGATTCTTTCCCAAGCTGGTGGGGTCAGCAGTGTTTCTAAGTCCAGCAGTGTGTTTCTGTGAGTGTTGACTCTCCCTGTCCATAGTACAGGGGCTGCACAAGCTCTCTGTGTGCCTTGCCCCAGCAGGAAATAGTGTTTCATTCTGATTTCAACCCACTCTGAGCTCATTTTCTTCTCTTCTGATGATTTTTGACCGTGCTGCCTCAGTTTAGCTTTTGGATGAGGTAGAAAGTACACTTTGTGAAGAAACCCATGATGCATTTCTAACTTTGGCTTGGCTATAAATGCATGTGTGCAGTGAGATACTAAAACACCAGTGAGTAGTCTGTAAGTAGTTCTTGGCATTTTTATGAAACAAGGACATTTTTCCGTAATCCCTTCCTGATTGCCTTCGAGGGTTCAGCATGTGTATGGTGGGGAAGGGCACCAGGGATCACCAGGATCAGGAAGCACAGCTGCACAGCATTAACTCTCTGAGTACTGCAGCACTGAACGTGCATTATTCTTGCTAAGGAAGGACTTGTCATATCTGTGCTTCGAAACAGCTGAGTTGGTTCAGTGCTGGATAAGCTGTTAACAGTTCAGACTCTCCTTGTTTTAATAACCTAAGGTAAGCTGCCTGGCCAAAGCTTGGGAATTGGGGTGCAACTATTTGCACTTACTAAGTTGAAAGATTTTAATATATTACATTGAAATTTCCTGAGGGAGAGATGTTAGGGTCTGTTGGGGAGGCAAAAACATGGCTACTGTGGGCTTACCTATCAAGCTTTGAATAAAACTTTAATGGGATATAAAACAACAAGTGGGAAATGGCAAGTGAAGAATTTTGATAGATTTTTCATTGTTTTTGAGAAAAGCAGCAACTTGGTGTTCATACTTTTAATAAGGATATTCTTTTTTTTTTGGCAGTGGTACCTAATTGACCGAGAAGCCTACAAAGTAAGCCTTGCATCATCCCTATTTTTTGCTGGACTGCTCATTGGAAATATCACATTTGGCCCTTTGTCAGATAAACTGGGCAGGAAACCAGTGTATATCTCAGGTAGGAGTGTTAAAAGATTTTTCTTAAGCATTCTACATGGATAACATCTCTTTTCTTCCCTGCCCCTGGCCCACCCTGCTCAGAGGCTGCTCGTGGGTCCCCTGCTCTGTCAGTGATCTGTGTCAGCTTGTCACCCAGAGTGGAGCAGCACTGAAATTGTCAATATGAGTGTGCTGAGCAACACAGAGGTCACAGAATGTCGATGGCAGATGAAAAAGAACCTGGTTATCACTACTGGAGCGCAGTATTCCACACATTGCCCAACCATATTGTTCCAAATGAAAAATAATTTGCCCGTTTTTGGAGGGTGAGGGGGAGAATGATTTCCCTAAACATCTTTGGAGTGGGTTCCTCCTGTCCTGGTGTTCTGTTTTCCAGACCCTTTTGCAACCAAAGGGTCTTTTTGTTTAATGAGAACATTGTGTGAAGGAAATGTCACCTTTGACATTGCAGGCCTCAAGTGTGTGCCTTGAAAATGATTGTAATTTTCGTATGATGTGATTTCAGAAAGCCAAACGCAAGACATGGGAGATGAGCACTAAAGTCTACTCACTATAGTCAGTCGCTGACTGTGGTCCCTGGTCTGTTTTGGAGTTCAAGCTGTGTAGCAGAAGTACTAATTCCATTTTATTCTGTCTCTACAGGTCTCTTTTTTGATGTCATTTTTGGGTATGTCACAGCCTTAGCTCCGAATTATGACATATTTGCAGTTTCACGGTTTTTTGTTGGAATCGTGAATGGTGGAATGGCTCTTGTGTCTTTTGTCCTAACACAGGAATATGTAGGAAAATCATTTTGGTCATTTACAGGTGGGATTTGGGATATATTTAATCATTGTTACTGTGACACATATTGTTCTATCAGTGCCTTACATTTTATGTTTGTACAAAGTCAAGTCAGTTGTAGTGTAAATCAAATGAGTGTGATGTGATTCATCCAGGTTCTCATTTCTGTGGGAAAGGTGCCTGAATAAGGGAGATGGGATTGAGTTTGTTTGATAAGTAGCAAAACTGAGGTTTTCAAATTGATACAGTAATTCCTAAAATTTCTCAATTTGTACACTACATTACGTTAAAAAAGAAAACAAATGTTTTGGCAGATCCTGCCAACTTCTCCTGTGTGATACCTTGGGAAGGTATTCTGGGAAAAGTCTCTGTGAACCACAAAATGAGCTGGTGCCTGGACAGTGTTTTTTCCACTGTTGAATGTGCTGACCTTCCAGTATTTTTAAATGTCCTTTTCTCATATGCCAATGCCGAGACTTAAAATAAGTTTAACACTTGGATGTCAGACAGTTTCAAAGCTGGAGTAGCTCAGGCTGTAACGCCTTTCTGGCAGACACAACGTGGGGAAAAACATAGTCCAAATGCTGGCTTTCTGTGTCTGTGATGAGCATATTTCTCTCCCTCATTTATTCAGTGGCCTCATTCTGCTGTTTTTCTTACTTTTTTCTCTGAGCTCCTGGGGGTGTATGAGACAGTTGTGGTTTAGTTATAACCTTTCACCTTTTTTTTTAAGTACTGAATTTTCCTCTTCTGAGTTCACTTTTCTGACTTGTGCTTTCTCTCTCTCTCTCCCGCCCTTCCTCCTCCTTTGCCCGGTTGTCTCTCTCTGCTCTTCCCAGACTCCTCCCTGCAGGGCCAGCCTCCCGATGGATGGACAAGCTGGGCCATTTCCTGCTGCTTGTTGCTCTAGGTGCTCTATTCCAGTTGTGCTCAGCGTTGGGAAGGAGGGGCTGAGGGAGAGGTCGATGCTGGATGCAGCTCAGCTGTGTCAGAGCAGCTGTTGGGATGTTGGTGTGAGCTGGGCTTTGTGGGACACAGCTCCGAGTGTCTGGGGGCCACAGGATCTCCTGTGTTTGGCTGCAGAAGGTTTGTTGCTGGGCTTTTGGAGTTCCAGTTGACCCCGTATTTTAAACACTTTTCTTTATGTTAGTTCATCAGAAATCTGCTGTAATAAACCCCAGGATTGGCAGCTGGTTTTGTACTGAGCTCAGTCCTCGTACTTCTGTAACTTCCAATTTCTGCTCCACCCTGCTGCTTCTATTCAAGATTTCCCTAACAGACCTAAATAAATCACTTGCTCCCAATGCTTCCCCTCCTGTCCTCAGGTTTTCTCTTTAGTGTCTAAGTTCCTGTTCATGTCATGCTCTCTCCTATGTCCCACTCTTTTATTTTTTTAAAGGGGAAAAAAAAAACCCAACCCTCCCATACACTACACAAAGCTGTTCTTCATTGGGATTCCATGTTACACTTAAGCCAGCTGGTTCACAAGTGCTGTAAAGATAGCTCATAAAATTGCTGTTTTATTTAGGAATTTCAGGCTTCTGCTTTAAGAATTTTTTCCCTTTTGCCAATGTTTTTCTGTGGTGATTGGCTTGCTCTTGTTTTTTTCAGGTTCACTAACTAATGTGACATTTGCAGTTGGCATTGCTGTTTTTGCTTTGCTGGGTTACTGTATCAGAGAGTGGCGCTACCTCGCCTTGGTGTCGAACACTCCAGGAGTCTTCTTCCTCCTCCTCTCTTTGTAAGTGGTTCACGTGCATTCTCATGATAAGAAAAAAAACATGCAGTAATGAACCTTGTCACCATTTGAGAGGGGTGTAAAGGAGGGTGACACTTTTCTGTAGGGTTCTGTGAGCCAAGCAGGAGTTAAAACACTGTTGTGCAGGAAGAAGGGGTGTGAAGTGAAGCAGGAAGTCGGGGTTACCCAGCAGACAGGCTTGTGTTTCTGGGTGTTGTTACAACTGTGGTGACCAGCGCTGCAGAGAGCAGCTGTGTGCCAGCTGTCCAAGGAAACTCAGTTACAGATCTGCTTGGGAAGGGAAGAGAAGGCCGGCCAGAGGCTGTGAGCTGGAGCATCTGCCAGGGACAGGAACGCTGCCTTCTGCCAAGGCAGGGCTTCAGAGCTTGGGAAGGGATTGTAGAGTTCCTCTCCATGAGACTCAGCATGCAAAGGGAACTAAGTGAGAGCACTAGGAATTGCCTTTTTAGTGTGATGTGCTGTGTATCTGCTTGCTTTTGAGGTTCCTTGTGTCTATTCCTAGCGCTGCTGTGCTTGGGTGCTCCTATTTAGAATTCCCACACTGACATTATCAAAAAAATGATTATAAAATGCATCAGTATTTAAGGAATTAGATGCTAGCTTTGTCTGGGCCGTGTTCTTAGAAAATGTTCTTTTAATGTATCAAGTAATGCACCTTGTATACTCCTGGTCACTAGTTAAAGCTGTAGAAGAAATAAAAGAATAGTATTTTGCCTGCACATTAATACCAGGAATGTCTAGCACACGGCACAAATGGGAAAAAGGTCTTCTGATTTCCATTATTTTTTAGATAGATCTGCTCTTGAATTAAGTTCTGTTAAAGAATACAGTAAAAAAACCCACCTCGCTTCCTGTAGTCAAGGAAAACAAACTCTGCGGGCAGCAGAAGGAAGTTCTGCATGATGTGTTTTCCTCTATAGTGTTCTGTTTCTGATGGAGTAGAATTACTTCCCCGAAAACTAAAAATGCTGGGATCCTCTGAAGTAATGAAAGTTTAGTTTGGTTGTAGGATGTATATATCTGTTAAGAGTACTGGAGAAAATAAATGTTAAGTTAAAAATATTCCATTCCTTATTTTATGACTCATATGAAAGCTGCCACAGAGGAAAAAGAAAAGCTGGAATAATGAACTGAAGTTGTGGAAAGCCAGGATATTCTGATTATATGTGGGAATAAGAGATTTAAATCTTATATGAGCAGTGATGAGCTGGTACTGGAGCCTGACAATTAATTCCCCAGTAAGGTTTCTTTCCTTCTCTCTGCTCCAACTCGGAGCCCTTCCTGTAGTGGAGAAGCTTGAAATAAACTTTGTGAAAACCGGGTTTTGTTCAGGATGTCCAAATAGTAGAGGTTTGAGATGCTTCCTTGACTATGCTATTGTAGCATTGCCTAAGAAGTCAGTTCAGCAGAAGTCAAGAATGAGATGTAAACTTTTCTAACATGACTGAGTGCATTGTCAGGCATCTCCCAGGGATCCATCTGTAAGGTTTAACTGTATTATCACCAGGCTGCCTGGAACTGAATGTGCAGAACAGTACAACTATAATGTGTTCCTCTGGATTTTGTATTGGTATTTTTATCCAAGTATCGATTTGCAAAATGGTAAGATTGACTTTAGAGCAGTAAATGAACTTGTCATTGTTGCTCTTCTGTTCCCTCCTGTTAGCATGCTCCCAGAATCTCCACGGTGGCTGTACTCCCAAGGGAAAACAGCAGAAGCTGAAGACGTGTTGCAATATATTGCCCTTTGTAATGGAAAAGAAAGATTAAATCTAAAATTGAAACCAAGTGCAGGAACTCTGAGGAAGGATGAGTTGGCACCTGGAATCCTGAACTTGGTGAAACAACCGGTCCTTCGGTGGCGAACCATCCTTCTGATGTACATCTGGTGGGTGACAGCAAGGTGCTGAGGTGTTGGGGGTGAATCAGACACGAGGAAGTAATGAACATTTTCATCCTTTTCTCTAAAAAGTAGTATCTTTAAAAAGTACAGAACATCAATGTGTCATAAATGTGTCGGTTGATGGTAGACAATAATCCTGCGAAGTGATGTGTTACAAGGTTGCTGTTCTGTCATTGTTGCTGTTGTGTTTTATTTTCAGTATGTTACTTAGAAACTGCTTCAAAACCTACTAAGAAATAATCTGGTGAGAACATAATATTTACACAGAGTGAAATGAGAAGCTGAAGCAGAAATTACTGAGAGGATGTGTGTTTGAACCAGCCTTGGGAAGAAAAGGGCTGCACGGATTAGGCAGCCACAGAGATCTGGATTTAGAAGAAGAGTTAAGAGCCTGAAATTACATTTCACAGGTTCAGTGCAGGAAAATTGTGAGCAAGGTAAAATACAGGTTGCATAGATTTATATTAGGTGCTATCTTGAAAAGTGATACAACTGTACCAAGTTACTGTAATTAAATAGGAGCTTTTCTCATTGCCTTATTTCCCTTCCAGGAGGATCTAAGAGTTGTCTTCCTACCATGTACCTCAATATAGCTAATCCATAACTTGGCATAATTTACCTTTTAAATGCTTTCTTAGTCCTAAAGACTAGTTCTGTTAATAATATAACTTTTCTGGTTATTTTTAGGTATGTCTGCAGCTTTGTGTACTATGGACTGACTTTAAATGCTGGTGAATTAAGAGGAAATCTCTATTTAAACGTGGCTCTTTCTGGTCTTGTAGAAGTTCCAGCATTTCCTCTCTGCATGTTTTTCATTGAGAAATCCTGGTAAGAAAAACTTATTTCCTAGTTCTCTGCATGTATTTGTAGATACCCTAGAAAAATATTAACATTTTTCTCAGTCAGATACTTCACTTCTTCTAAACAGTGTTGGTTCTTTGGGGATTTACTCTGCTGTAGGAGTTTCTGCACTTGATGCAGAAATGAGACTGGTTTTCTACATCTTTGCTTTTTTAGTTTTGTTCAGATCTTACATTACTCCGGAGATAAGCTCTTCAATGATTAATGTTATTAAAAAATTTTGGTCTTTATGGAAAGAAGTGAGTAGCCTAGTTATTTAAGTACCTATAGGTTATATATCTCTCTTACATATTTTATTCAGAATAACATGGTTTTGTAGTGCCTACCAACTACAGTTGAAAGCAGTTTTCAGCATTGTTCATTTTTACCTAATCTTTTCTAAGAGAACTTTGAAGTGAGAGCTGTTCAATTTTCAGGAAGGCACGGGTGATCCATGTCTGTGTATTTTCATACTTTTCAGTGTGCTTGGAGGCCATCCTTTGTGTGGGTGCTTTTTTCCGAAGCCCAAAAATTCTGACAAGCGAGGGCTCCTCAGGGTTTCATGTAACCTGCACGTTTGGTGTCTTTGTAACGCTACTTTGGTCTCACTGAGGTCAGTGGCAAAAAGCCACAAGATGTGAAGCACTGACCAAGGTACAATAGATTTAGAGCTGTTACTTGTGCTGCTGTGTACTTCAGTACTTTGGTAATTTCCAAACAAACTGAAAATCACTGGAGGGCCTTGTTTCCATCTTTACCCGGGTGCTCTTTTCCTTCCAGGTCTGGAAGACGTAAAACCATGACGTGTTTTCTGACATTTGCAGGACTTGCCTGTGTGTTTACCATGTTTTTACCAACAAATGCTAGTAAGTGTGTGCTGCTGGCAAAGCAGAAGTTGGGATAAAAGCTGACAGAACAGCTTGATGGACACTTTGTGGCCGAGTGTATGAGGGCCTGGTGCCCTATCCATTTACACCCCTCTCTTCTCTTTTTGGGGCTGGTCAGGGAGACAGGGGCTTGTCTATATTCCTTTTAACTCCTTACAGGCATTATTTGACTGTTAGTTGACTAAGTTGGCCTGGCTGTAAGCCCTTGGCTCTCTGAAGGCCAGCCCAAGATGTCCCATTCTGTCTCAGATACTGACCCTGCATTCATTGATCACTATTAAGCAGTTCACCTTAAAGTGCTGGATTTCATAGCTAGACCACTATGCAGTGTAATCTTGGTTTGGATCTTGACAGTGTGAGGTGCCAAGCTTAATTTTACAGTGGTTTTGGTGGCATGTGGTATTTACAGAAATAAAAACCGAACATTTTCCAGAATTAGAAGTTCAATTCATCATTAAAAAACACCACAAAAAGCCAATAAAAAGCTTTAAAAAAATAATTTTGTTCTTGAGAATTAGAAATGGAAGTCAGAATTGCAGTATGGAAGCCACAGGGATGGCAGGAAGCTTGCTGCCTTTGTCAGACTCAACTGGGTATTGCTGTGTTGTGCAGTTGTGAGGATAGCTCGTGGTAACAGTGGAGCATCATCACATGTGTTTCTCTTCTCAAAAGATGTGTTTTTCTCTGACATTGTCAGTGACATTCACAAAATGTTCGGTTTTGTCTTTTCAATTTTATTTCCATTCCAAGTACATTTTTTTCTATGCTAGTATTTATTTTAGCTACTGAAAACTTAGGTCTGTGTGACACTAACAAGTAGAAGTGGCTGCTCTTTGCTTGTGTTTTTCTTAACATCCCATCAGTAGAAATACTTCAGCCTTAACAGTGTTCTGACTGAGAGCACCAGCTCTGTGATCCCAAAGTAGTCTCCCATAGGCTACGTTTATCCTTAACAGATATAAATGCTGTCTGGCATCCAGTTCTAATTGATCTGAGAGAAGGCTCAGGAAGAAAAGCAGACAGAGAGAAAATGTCCCATAATCTGATATGGCATTAATTCAAGTCCTCAGACATTTTCTTGCTCCTTTTATTGAGGCAGTGTCTTCCTTTATTCCAACAACTTTGCTCTTTGTGCTTCTCTTTATGAATTTTAAAACAAAATGATAGAAAAGCAGTAGGGTAATAATTCCTGAAGAGTTCCTCATTTACAGGAAGTCTTCTGCCTTTTCCAGTTGATTTGTCTTTAATCCCATTAAAACATCTGACTTGGCACTGTGGTGAGAGTAAAGCTGGCTCTTGGCCCAGAGTGATCTGTGTCAGTTCAGAAGAAAGAAATTTGGTTCCAAGCATGATGACGATGAGTCACTTTGGATGAAACAAGGATTGCTGCAGCTCCAGTCTGACCCTCCCATTACTATTACATTTGTCTAAGTCTCTGTTCTTCCGAGTGATTGATAAGATCCTTGATTTTATTACAAGGGATTTAAGGTTTTAATGAGATGTTGGGCACCTGCCTCTCATGTCTGTAACCTTTGCTTGATTTCTAAATAACTCTGCTAACTTGTGAATGAGAATCTGATCAGAATGATTTCCCCTGTGGAATAAACCAAGAGCATTTCTGATATTAAAGATGTGTACTGAATTGGAGACTAAAATTCTGCCAGTGGTTATGTAAAGACTGATATAACCCTCAGCTCCCTCTTTCCTTATCACTTAAAATTCATCAATTAGTTTGTGTATCAGACTGGAAGATGGTGAGGGAGAGTGGCAGTGGAGGGGCAATGGAGCTGTAATACTATTTTCTTTCAAAAGCTGCTGTAGAGCAGAAAGACCATCTGCATTTTGTGTCTGCTTTATACTGCAGCAAGCAAAGGAGACTCCCAGGCTAGGGGTAACTGGATTTTAGCTTTCATTGAGATTTATCTGTTTGTGGCTTTCCTTGATATGCTTTCCACTGCAGCAGGAAAGAGAATTTGCAGTTCTTTAAATCTATTTTACCTCAGCTCTAGTTAATGTTGAGTATTTTGTGCTGAGAACGCCCCTTTCATGGTGGGTACTTTGTCTGAAGTAAGTTTAAAGACTCCTTCAGTCTCAAAAGTCCTGCTCAAATGAACTTTTACTCATGAAGGTGACTGACAGAGGGTGAATCTACGTAATAGCACTGGGAGGACCAGCTTCACGCCTTTCCATCTGGCAACTGTGTGTAATATTCCAGTTCCTCCCGTGTAAAAGGAGAACTTGGGTGAAAATGTTGCGTCTGTTTTGCATGAATTACAGAAATAAGTGCAAAAAATGCATCACACTTAAAGAAATTAAATCAAGTTTCTGGATTTCAGTTTACATACAGATGAATTTCTTCCTCAGTTGAAACAGAATCTGACTGGATGAATTATACTGGAAGTACTGATGGGCAAAATTAAAAGAAAAGCAACTGAGAAGCAATCAGTTTCCCATGACTTAATGAACATTATTTGATCCAAATCAAAAACGCTGAACTCAGTGCTAAGGAAGGGAACCTGAAATACAGCTAATCAGAATACTTGTTCTTTTTTCATCTAAAAAAGCATTAAATTCTCTTTTTATTAAAACATATGGTGCAAACATAACCATAACCAAAATCACGTTAATGAAAGCCAGGTTTCTTTTGGACTCTAAAAGATGCACACTTCAGTTTGGCCAACCAAACTCTGTCTCTTAGTAAACTTAGTAAATGCATTAGCATTTGTTCTTTCCAATTACAGAGCTGTCACAATTTTAAGTCCCAACAGGGTGTCCTTGGGGAGCAAATAAACTGTTGAGGTGAATGAAGTTTCATGGTTTTAATCTAATAAATTAGTCAAGAAGGGTATGTTGTCTGTGCTTGTCAAAGGACGCAGTTACCTGGGAAGATGTTCTGACTGCAGAGCTGGAAGCAGCAGCCCTTCCTTTAGACATGTGATAGTTTGACAGTTTCCAAACAAACAAAAAGGATCTGATTTCCTTTGTCCTAAATACAATTTTCCTAAGCTAGCTTAAGAAACTAGCTTGGTTGGGAAGAGCTGAGATACTGCTTTTGTGCTCGTAGTTGAAAAATGTATGGGTTTAAACACTGCTTTCTGTGACAGTCTCCAAACAAGGACTAGAAATTTGTGTAAAGAAAGAATAAGAAAAGAGACTCTTTATACTTACATCCTGTTTTCTCTTTCCTGAAAGATCTCCTCCTGGGTCCCACTTTGTTAGCTCTGTGTGGAAAAATGATGGTCAGTGCTGCTTTCAACATCCTGTATATTTATACATCTGAGCTGTACCCAACAGTGCTGAGGTAATTTAGCAGAGCTTCTGGGTAAATGAAATTGTTTTCCATGCTCGGGATTGCAGATGTGCTTTAGCATTTATCTGTAATTATTTTTACCTGAAATAACTGTATGAGTTCTTTCTGTAAGTAAGGCAGCTCACCAGGGCTGGAAAGGGCTTCTCCAAGTAGTCACACATTTTGCACCAGTGCACTTTTCCAGGCTGTTTGGGGAAATTTGCTCTTGGTCTGAATCCAGAGCAAAACCATGAAAACCAGCTTCTTGTGCTGCAGTGCTTGGTGATGTGTTTATCATTTCTACTATTGATTTTTGGGAGTACAATTACAGGGAGCAAACCCAAACACAATGATGTGATGGAAGTGTGTGCTACCTTAATAATAAATGCAGACTGTGCAGTAAGGACTAGTTACAGTCCTTTTGTGTGCTTACATCTCTCATATGACTTAGTTTGCCTGCTGGAAAGCAAGTTCTTTTCTATATCTTTGTTATTTAATGAAATATTTATAATGCAACCCATTTTAATGGTATCTATATGACAGTCATTTGCTCTACACCATTTAATTAATGGTGTAGAGCTAAAAACCTTAATTTATTTTTCATAGTTCTTACCAACTCTCTGTGAAGTTACTCTCCTGTTGTCCCAAGATAAATCTGAGATAGGAAAACATAATACAGTCTTGTTCTTCTCACCCTCATGTTGGTCCCATGTGATTTTCTGGATGTACTCTAAGTACGTGTTCAGGCTTTGAGCCACATTGCATGAGTCGATTAAGAATAGCAACTGCAAATGTACTCAAAAAAACTGAGCCCAGTTTAGAGAGAGCAGGAAAGTTGAAAGGTGATGTGGAGTAGGAAGGTGTCCCAGCTGGTAGATGTGGCTGTAGTTAGTTAGGATGGTGACAAATCACTTGAATCCAGGGCTTTGAGGGCTTTGGGGGGAAATGAAAAAACAAACAAACAGAAAAGTTGGGGGACTCCTTGGATTGGCTTTTTTTTTTTTTTTATATCACGGTTCATAAATTACCATGTTAGGGAGCCATAAAAGCTGGACTGTGGATGCAGCTTCAGCAGTACCACTGATGAGGATGGAAGTGGAGTGACTGTTTGTAGATACTGAGCTTGTGGTTCTTGGCACAGCTTTAGGTTGACTATGCACGTCCCAGGCACACTGACTGCAGTTGGATGTGGGAGATTGTTTGCATTCTCCCCATCCAAACTTCAGACCCTCCTTGTTTTCCTTTTTATTTTTGAGCACATTTGATTTTTGTTTGTTTGTTTCCCTGTCCCCTCTACTTTTCAGGAATTAAGAATCAAGAAAATGAAATCTGAAAATGTTTTTAATTTATCAGCTTCTGCTTGTTTTGCTGTGTTTTCATGCTACACTGTCTCCTTAAGTCCTTTTGATGTCTGGTGCCAAGTATGTGACAGCTCATGCCTAGCAGGAATTACAGCAGCATCTCTGTGTGTATGAAACTAAGTAATTTTCATGAGGAATATTAAAAAAAAATCAAGTAAAGTGCTGCTTCATTTGAGAATCTGCACTAATATTCTGGCAAAAAAAAAGTACTTTGTATGGCAAATTCACAGACCACCAGGGGAGAAAATGTAAGGAGAAAGACAGTTAAAAAAAATAGTAACTTTATTAGACCAGTTTAGTAATGTGACAAACTAATACATTAAACCATATGAAGATTCCTGACGTGACAATTTATACATTTAAAAACATTTGATAAATCTCTGGTCCTTTTAATTGCAAATATTATAGTTTCTGCAAGAGAAGTAGTGTGATGGGTGAGTGTTAAATTTAAAGCAAAACATCAGCACCACCTGGTGGTCTCTGCAAAGCTTTGTAGTGCTCCTGGATCAGTCCTGGGATGAGACGTACATTCAAAGGCAGAGGAGGTGGAATAACTATTTTTTTGCCTTTTTTTTTTTTCAGGTGAATGTTTTGCAGAAAAATTAAACGTCTTCAGTATTACTGCTCTGTATTTAAACTTACTATTTTAAGTATGAGGATTGTTAGGCCTCTGTTTTAAGTTAACTGGTACATGCAGCAGTGACAAATACACCTCATGGTATAAACAGGACAGTGCTACAGGCTGGGGAGTCTTTGGGCTTGGGGCTTTTTTTTCCTTTTTGATGTGTCATTAAAATACCTGCTGGGGAATGAAAAAAAGTTAAAAATAGAAAATTTCACTGCTGTTGCATTTTGGACAAAGAGGAAGGTTATCTTTGGGAACAAATTGTAATCATAGCTCAGTAATATAGATGTAAAAACTCATGGGGGTTTTTTCGTGAGAAAGTAGTTGCAAAATGATGACATCCTTGTGTGTCTTGGGTGAAGTCAGAGTGAAGCCATTGCACTGCCTAGGACAGCTTTTCTTGCTTATTTTCAGTAATTATTAAACTATTTGATTATTTTCACAGTGGGGAAACTATCCTTGGGTCTTTTAATAACTGCTTTCATTTTGCATTGGAATGGCAATGATACAATTTGCATTTAGGATCACATTTTACCATATTCCCTCTCAGCAGAAAGTTAAGAAGCCAGCAAACCTCTGGGCATGGACAGACTTGGGATCTGTGGGAAGGATGCTTCCAAAGGAATGGTTCACACACAGACTGGTGTGTCCCATCATGCAGGGATTTTGTTGGCAAGGGAGGTGCTTGGCCTTGTCTTGTGGGGTTTGGGTTGATGTGGCCTAACTGTGAGGAAACGTGGGTTGTTATTTTCCTTTTCCCAAGAGGACTTGATGAGAGAAAAGGTTGCCTTTTCTGTTTATTTTACTTCAAAGTCACTGGCCTCTCATCAACTCCTTCCACCTGTTTCCCTTCACCTGGCAAAGGGCAATCAGGAAGGGACATGCAGGTGGGTGACATTGGGATACCAGTGACCGGTGTCACCACTCTCCTCATCGTGCTTATTCCTGTCACTGTCTTCCTGTCTTTGGAGGAGGAAAAGGGTGAGCAGGAGGGGGAAAAAAGATGAGCAGGAACAGCTCAGCTCAGCAGCGAGACTGAGGATGATGATGAATGAGAGGAAGGAACCAAGCAATGCAGAGAGAGCAGCCACCATGACCTTGTTACCATCTCGCTGGTGACTGGTGCTGACACCCATCTCTGAAGGGCTGTTAAATCCTGTATTTAGGAATGATACAGAGATGGAAGAGTTTTTGCAATTGTTCAGAAAATTAAAGACTGAGGACTTTTTAACTTTCCTTTGAAGAGGATCTTGCTGTTCTAAGCCATGATTATCACAGTCTGGATGAGATTATTTTAAACTTGTCTGAAAATTGAAGGGAGCACAGAATTCAGCATCTGGCCAGATATTTTCAACCTTCTCACTGAGTTATTTTCTGTTTGGAGGTAAACACTGACTTTTCATCTGTGCACCCCGAGGTGGCAGAGGAGAGGCTGCTGCAGCTCAAGCTGGAGATAAGATTCAGCATCTTCTCTCTGAAGATCCTGCCACATTTTGAAATCATTCCCCATTCAGGGATGCCCAATTAAATTGCCTTAGGGTGCAGGTTGGAAAGCCTCTCTGTTGGTTGATTGAAGGATTGATTGCACAACAGGGTGGTTTTGGGAGCGTTTGAAAGAGTGTGATTTTACCTTACCTGCATTCAGTTGAGGAAAGTCTTTGGAGTAACCACTGGAGGTCTTTAAAAACTTTATTTAAATTCAAGATTACTGATAATTTAAAATATATATATATAAGTTGGCTTGGACACTGCCACCACATGTTCATGCATGATTCAGTTGTGTATTCTGAAAGTACAAACTTTGCATCCTTTGTTCAAAACAGAAATGCTGGCTTGGGTGTCTGCTCCATGTCTTGCAGATTTGGGGGCATTTTGGCTCCATTTGTGCCATCTATGGTAAGATTATTTTCAACTTTTTTATGTAACTCAGATTTATTAAATTCTCTCAAAAGCACTTTACTCTTTTTGGTATCATGTCCACCCCTATTCCTTGGAAAAAAAATTGATTTTATGAAAAATTAAATAGTGTTCACTCGATTTCAAGAATGAACAATCTTAAAAATACCTAGTATTTTGTCATTTTTGGAAATAGTCTAATGTTTTATGTTGTCACTATTTCATCTCTGAATGAAATGGTTGCCATGTAATGCCTTTGGTACTGCTAAGGCTCACTCAGTATCTGAGTTTTCTTAGACATGTAAACAAAGCTTTCATATGAAGCTGTTTCTGTGAAATGGCATTTATTGGGTTTCTTTCCTCTACCAGAATATGGATAATTGCACAAACTGCTGGATTGACAAGCTGTAGTCTTTTGGTTTTGACTGCGGTTTGTGGTTTTTGAGAGCAGGCAAGAATGCTGGGTTTTTACTCTGGGTTTTTAATTTCAGAAGTCTCTCAGTCCTTCTATACCGTTCGTGGTGTTTGGAATCACTGGACTGTCTGCAGGATTCCTGACTCTCCTTCTGCCAGAAACACTAAATAAGCCAATTGCTGAGAGCATCGACAGCCTCCAGAGTCCCAGATACCAAGTGCTTAAAAATGAAGAGACAGAGTAATTAAATATTTTTTTTTTATAACTTTGCATTATTTTCCCCTCTATCTTATGTGAACTATGGTTGACCTGCATCTTGGTCAGACTGTGCATTAACAAACATGAAGTCTTTAGAGCCATCCTTCTCCTGCATTCAGCAGAGATTAAATCTATTCCTTGGCTCTTAAGGATGAAAAGGCTCCACAACATTCATCTGTAGGTCTTACATTATGTATAAATGAATATGATTTTGTTTCTTTTAAAGGAAAACCGATTTTAAAAAGACAGTCTGAAATAATCAACCACAATACTTTCAGTAACATTCCTATGCTTTTACAGGAAAACAACTGGGCGTATTTTTTATATATTGGATTGTGCCTTTTTGTCATGTTTATAGTGGAACATAATCTACTATTAATACATATCTGAATGTTTTGTCCTTCGTTAGTCTCCTGGGTTAAAGCCATTTTAAGTGTTTTCCTGTTGTTGATATGCACTAAATGAAACTTCTGAAGTGGGAAATGAAATTTTTGTTTGATTCAACAAGTAATAGAATAGAAAATGTAAAGTATATCCCCTCAGTTTGGGAATGGTTTCCCAAAAGAATTAGTCTTAAAAGGGAGGGGTAGGGGGGGATTTCTATAAGAAAGGAATTGGTATCTTAGAATTAAACAGGCTTAGTGTAGAAGTAAAAGAATATGTGGTTTTCTTATGTTTTTTCTTTCTATGCTATCTTGTGAATTATCTGGTAATTATTGTACTTAATCAGTTTAATTATACTACACGCACTATTCTGCTCTCTTTCTATGCCTAATACAGAGTAATACTGCATTCAGTTGAACTGGAAAAAAACCCCAACAGCTTCTGCGCTTTTCAAATACCACTTCACTTCTAATGTTTAAAAAAATCAATGAATTCTGGTTTTCACCTTTAATATTAGGCTATGAAATAGGACAAGGCAAAGAAGATATGTAAAACATTTTTAAGTAATTATTTCTCTTCTGTCTGACAGGCAAAGCAGTTAGAAGAAAACACTTGAGTTTGAGGCCTGTCTGGTGGAAAATGAAGCCTCCACTGAGAAGATGCTGTAACAGCTGAAGGGCAAAGTGCTGCTCCCTGTGTCTGACAGGAAACATTCCAGGACTCATGTATAATGCTGTTTGTAGCATGTTGAACAGCTCTGTGTGGAGACACACTGAGAAGATGGAAGGAGTTGATCAAAGCTTGTGAGAAAAGAGCTGACAAATCTGTGCATTAATTTAATGACTTAACAAAAGCCCACTTCAGAGGTTTGGACTTCTCTACAGCTTCTTGAAGTGAAGTATTAATTTATTTTACAGGACGTAATTGCCAGCTTCAGATGAAGCTATGATGTTGTAATTGAAGTGATGTATAATTTAAAATTTAGATGGCCTTATATATTCTGTCAAGCTGGAAATGTGAAAAGGAGCAGCATCCTGTATATGCTAATTTTCTCTGCAGGTTTTTTGCCTCTAGACTACAGTGTATACCTCACAGTGTGAAGAGACCAAAGATCTGTGTGGGTTGTTGGCCTTAGGTCTAGCATAAGAAACCTGAGCAGGAGATCTGAAAGGAGAATAAATGGATTCTGTTGTGGGAGACAGCAAGTTTTTGTTGGAGAAGATGCCTTAAATGAAAAATAATACTATATTGGAAAAATTGTCAGGACTTGAAGAGGTGCATTTAAAGGAGAGGATGAGTAACCTTTTAGACAAAGGTTATTAAGTTCTAGCTGTACATGTGGAATGAGAAATTATTGAGCATGAGTTATATATTGTATAATATATGTAGTAATATATAATCCCATATATTTCATATATCAGTTGGAAATTCTTCCTGCAAGGGAACAGTGTTTGGTTAACAGTTAATGTATTTACGTTGGAATAGATGCATCACAACCGTTACAGATTTTTTTTATGGCAAACACAATTTTGTTATTAAAAAGACAATTATTTTAACATCTGTATTATGAGTGCTGCTTTTTCCAGGATGTTTACCCAGGCTTTTTTGAAGAATACTTGTATTGTTTTGATTTTGGCCCTTTATCTAATGTGTTGATAGCAAAAGGTTACTGCTGGGCCACTGTGTTTTGAGAAGTTCCACAGTTAAATAATAGTTCGAGCACCTCTGGAAGTGTGTGTGCATTTTTACACACACCAAAATCTGTGCTGTGCCCACATGTGCTTTTCCAGGAGCCTGATCAGGACCCTGAGAGGTGAAGATCAGTTGGTGATCAGAACAATGCTTAGATAATGTTGACATACGGGTGCATTTCCTTAGCCTCCAGGGATGAAGCTTGATGACAAACAGTCTATGGAATGTGCTCCAAACTTTTATCTTCTGATCATTTATTTATTAATTCGCTTTCATGAGGATTAGAATGGAGTTTGTGATTTTTTTCTTCCCTGACTAATATTAACACCTTCCATTGCATTAACATTTATAACCATAGTGACTGATTGTACGTCTTCAAAGGATAATTGGGTCAGCAGGGATATCATAGAGACCAAGTTTTGTTACTGTTGACTTCAATTTTTTTATTACAGGAAATAAAATTTAATAAGAAACAGAATGATATCAAGTTATATTCCCAAAGCAGAGACTCAACTTTGGAAAGGGAGGATCATAAAGGTACCACCATGTGGCGGGAGTGTATTTCTCCCTCCTGCACTGCATCAGTGCATTTTTCCTCTTACTTTTATTCAACATTATGTGAAAAATGGGAAACCAAATAATTTGCCTTTTGAACATGGTTATTTCTGCTTTATTTGACCTGGAATTAATGAATTCTTTGCCTGGGGTGACTTCTGTGAATGCGGTGGATTGATGACCATAAAGCTGTGTGTCCCCAAAGACAATGATCTTTCCAGCAGCCCTGGCATGACTCGTGGTACCTGGAGCTGTTTTTAGGAGGCTAGGCCAGTGTGGAATCTGCTTTGGTACTTTGTCTCCAAGATACAAAAAAAATAAATATGGACAGAAACATCAACTTCTGGTTTTGCTTCATACAGTTTCCCTTCAATTTAACACCTTATTTACCATTTTACTTTAAATATCCTTGCTGCATTTTGCTACTGCAGTATAAAAAGGTGGTATTTGGGGGGAAAAAAAGCATTTTTCCAAGTATATATTTAGAAGTAAGGAAATAATTAGAAAGACTTTGTTGGACTAATATAACGTGTGCATTATGTCTTATAAGGTATAAGTGACACACCAACCATATGTCATTCCTTACTGTATTTGTCACAGCAAATTGGAAAAGGCAGCACTTTGGTCAAATAACTGAGTTTTTTTTTTGGGTAGATGTCTTCCCTTAAAGCTATGACTTTGTACAACTTGAAGTTCTTCATGTAGAGCAACTCTTTTTCTCATTATGTTTAATGAAGACAAAGCATTTTTTGGGGGGGGGGGAATGCCCTAATTCTTTACTCAGTGTGGGACCATTATCTGTTGATTTTCCACTTCTCTGTAAAAAGAACAAAAGGAGCTGAATTAATTCAAGTGGCTTAATTATACACATTAGGTCACAATCTCCATCCTTAAATACCACTTTTGGCTCTTCCCCTGTGCTTTATTTGTGTGTAGAAATTTGATTGTAATGTTGCATCTGCACTGTTCATCTGTTTCTGTGTTAAAACAATGTCTTCAGTGCTTTAGCACTTGATTGTGAAATTGCTTTTCTTTCTTTATCTGTTTTTAAACTGATTTGAAGTCTTTATCCCAGCATTTGAGAAAGTTCTGCTACTTTCTGGATTTTTTTTTCATGTTTCAGCTGCAAATGTCAAAGTATTAAAAAAAAAACCGAACCAAACATTGGCTGTCCTTAAATACATCTGTGATGTTCACAAGTTGTCCAGAAAGAAAGTCTGAGCTGATTTCAGCTCTTTCACTCCTCCCTGTGTTTCACCTTTAATATTGCTGTATTTTTCCCTGAGGAATGCTGGGGTTCTTTTCTGACTTGAGTGCTGCTGAGCAGGGGCAAAGCTTCAACATTCATTTATGCCACCTACGTTTTAATGCCATTTGCCTGTCATTAGGCAATATTTATCCTTTAATTCTTGGTTGGGTTTGTTTAAGCCCCAGTTTCCCCCTTGTCAGAGGAAGAATATCAATTATAAATGGAAAAGTAATGAAAAAGTTACTGGAGGATAATGAAAAATTATTTTTCCACTACTCCTTCAGTTCATGCTGTCTTTTGTTTTTTGTTGCACATTCTCTCGTTCCCCAGCCCTCCTGGTGCCTGACTGATTCTGGAGAAGCATCAGGGATTCAGCTGAATCTACATTTTCCTGGCTGGCAAATAGCCACTGCTTTCTTTTGTCATCAGCCAGTCATATAGACCCCCTCTCCCCACACACACCATGTTAAAAATCAGGTCAAGTATAAAGGCAGGGGTTGAGTTCCTTTTTCCTGAAAGGAAATTTTGCCCAATATTCATGTCAAGCTCATCTCAGTGATCTTTTTCATTATCCCATTTGATGTTCCATCAAAGCTGTTTCCTCCTTTATTGAAGCAGTGTGTGTTATTGCTTGAAGTGAAGGCTGTGGATTCATTTTTAGCATTTACCCTTTTTAATCTCAGTGAAGTACAAATAATCCTTTGCTCTGTTGATTAACGCTCTTGCACCTAAGCAGTAAAGAAAGGAGGAGGTAAACTTTTCAGACTATCCGCTGGTTCTGCCATTCAGTTTTTAGTTTGCTTGAGGCAAATACCTGTGTCATGTATTACAGCATGCAAGAGATCTGATTTTTTTTCCATGCAGTGTGTTAGCAGCAGTTCATTTGATAGTTCATCTCTTGTTATATCACTTGCTACAGGAGATGTAAAATTTCCCAGAGACAATTTTGGGAGATGCAATCCTTCCATTAGAGTTAAATCTGTGAAAACAGTGGACACATGTACAGCTACAGGCAAACTATGTGTGTGAAACACTGCCTAGGTAATGGAATAGCAACCTGGTCATGCTAATAACAGGTAAGTTGAATTGACTGGTCAACTTCAAGGAATTTTTTCAACAACTTCTGTCACTTAGGCTGAAAATTTCCATATTGGTGTTTGTCTGCCAGGTATCAGTACTGCCAACATTGTGTTGAAAGGCTCTGTGAAGAACTAGTGATTAAGTGTTTTTTTTTTAACTCAGAGATTCTGCATCTGCAACACCTCATTTCTTGTTTGTCACAGCCTCACATAATTTTCTACCTCTGCCTATTCCCTACTATCCCATCCACAGCGATGTAGGGCCTGATTGAATTCTCATTTCTCTGTACCAGTGTGCAAAAGAAGAGACTGCAATATATTTCTGGCTCACCTAAGGAAGCTAGAATCTGTGTACACAAAATGAAGCTACTCTAGATATGTCCGGATTAAAAGAAATTGCTCTTTCTTTTCAATGTCCCGTATCTTGTGGTTGGTCAGGTTTATAGATGTTGGTGTCAATATTCAGTGGGAGCTGGCTCTGGATTTGCTGCAAGAAGCCTGGGAGCAGCAATGGTACCCCCAACTCCCTGTACCAGCTGCAGCTCGAGAGGTATGTCATGGGCTTCAAACCGTTATTAAATCCTTATGATGGTGTATGTTCTTGTTTGTACAAATGTCTGGTCCTTTTTTAAGGCTGCCTGATCCTGTGATTTCAAGGCTGTGATATGACAGTTGAGCAATCTGTCGTTGCATTGTGTTTATTTCCTTTCATCGTTTTAGATTTGCTGCCTCTTGGTTCCACAGCAGATGCCAATGATCGGGAATAATGACAGTGAATAGGAGTGCTTGACCTACAGATAATACACCCTGCAGTTTAATGCAGGGTGTGTTTTGTGTTGTCTGGTTTCTCTTCTTCTGAAAGTGTTCCAGTTATTTTTCTAAGTGGACACTTTTCTAAGGCCTCTCATTTTTATGTGTCTGTGTGCCTTGAAATGGGTAAGCAAATGGCTCCAAGTGCTTGTGTGAAGATATTCCCTCAGCGTGTGCCCATTTTTTACTTGTGCTAAGACCTGCTGGCAAACCAGCAGCCAGACCCTCTGTGAGGGGTCTGAGTGAGGGGGTGAGCCTTTCTCTCTGCTCCTCACCTGCAGGTAACTTGGTACATTTGACCTGGTAGTTCTTAAGAGCAAAGCCAACCCTTCCTCCCGTGTGCCCCCCCGCCCCCCAAACAACAGAGCCTCTGATAAAAATGAGTTTTGGAAATAAAAAAACAAGGGAAAACAATGACTTATGCAGCGGTTAGTAATCTCTGCTGAAGAATATATTAGAGAAAAGTAAAATTGGCAGCAGGGGGGCTCCTGCAGTTGTGGTCTTAACAAATTGCTATGGATCTGATTTGGCTATTTATTATCTCTAAGCCTTGTGGTCTACCGGGAAGGAAGGAAAATAATTACTAATGACAGATTTTAGTTAAAGTTAATTTATTGGTGGTGAAAGTAATTGTGTGTTCCAGGTGTTCATCAGTTTAGCAAGACAACATTTAACTATCGAATGTTCCAATTACAATGTGGTTAATTAAACATGATTAAGCTGTTGGGTTTACAAACACACAACTAATTATATATAATTACACTTGTAGTGGGTTTATGGTATACAGCATGCAAGATAGATGTGATATTTAAAATCTCTCAGAAGATTTTGTAAATCTGCATTTTATAAGAGGCTACCTTATCCTTATACATTAACATATAGGTATTGATAGCTTGCTGCACTGTTAAATCAGAAATCTCCTGTGGAGAAGTTGTAGTGAGATACTGAAATATCAGCTAAGAACCATAAAGAAGGCAGAGAGGAGAGTGGAACCTGCTCAGAATTTGCAACTGAATGGTACAAATCTTGTGTGGATTGGTAAAAGCTGGTGGTTCTTTGCTACTTAAATTCTTCTGTGATTTAGGCAGAGGTTTTTGATATGGTGAGATCTGTGTTTGTTGGGTGCTGTGGGTACTGGGTCACCCTTAGGAGCAGCTCCAGAGGAGGTGTTTGGTGAGGGACCAGGGTGTATACTGGGACATCAAGAGCCTCTGGGAAGGGTTTGGAAGAGTCTGGGTTTTAGTGGTGGGGTTGCTGCAGATGGGCATGTCCCCTGAGGGGGTGAGGGGACATGGGTGCGCAGCCAAGCCCAGGCAAGAGATCTCGCCCGCTTGAAGCCAGTGATCTACAACAAACTGGACCTGCTGAATTAAGGAATGGTGGTACGTAATTTACAGCAGGTCTTGCCAACTCAGTGATTTCAGAGATCTTTTCCAGCCTTGTTCCTGTGTCCAGGAGGCGGTGCCCCCTCCCTCCCCTCCCCCCCGAGGCCTCAGCGCACCCCAGGGGCCACCTGCCCACAAGATGGCAGTCGTGCCACCTGTCCACAAAATGGCGCCTGAGGGCAAAGGCGGGCGAATGGCGTGTGGGGGCCATACCTGTGGTGATGGCTGTCCCACAGTGCTATAAACACCTGTGCTGTCTTCAGGACTCGAAACACATGGCGTGGATCAGGTGTTTGGTGCTTGGGTTGTGGTTTAGCTGTGCGTTGCAGCCCTCGTGATTACAGTGTGGTACCTCTGTTAGGTATGGAGTCTGCGGTAGCCCTTCAGGCTAAATTCCTGCCTTGGTGGATGCATGTGCCATTTAAATATGAATGATACTTTTGTTGGGAGAGCTGTGTGCTGCACTGCACTTGTCATAAGGGCTGTTTTAATCTCTGATTTGTGTTTGGCTCAACTTTGTTTGAGAAAGAGGCGCTGAGGAGAATGTGTGTTTGTGCAGGAAGGAGTCGCCATGGCTTCGTGAGGGAAATGTGAAGGAGCACCTTCTCCAGTGCCCGGGGACGTGGGGCTTGCTTGGCAGGGAGGACACCGTCCTTCCTTTTTTTGACTTCATTCTTGTGTGTTTGAGTGTTTGTGGTAATATAACACTTGCTTACCAGAAGATGTTTTACACATGTCATTCGTACCCATATGAATATACTGAAGCATGTTCAGTCTTTCTTCCCGTGGCATTTGCTTTCACAGTCGTTCAGTTGGAAATCTATAATAGTATCAGGCAACAACTAGAAATCCACAGTAATATCAAGCAACTTAGGTAAGAAATCGTGTCCTTTCCTCCCTAGTCATGAGTAAGCATTAGCATCATCGTCAGTAATGAAATCAAACGAATGCCAGTAAATATGTCTAAGTAACTTTAAATGGTACTTTTAAAATTTCAAGTCTACTTTATACTGACACAGGTGTTTTCTCTTGTTCTTCTTTCTGTGTGTTCAAGTATATACCAGAAAGGCAGAACAGGTCCTTCTCTAATGGAAATTCACCTTTGTGCGTACATCTAGTGCCAGAAGGATATACTGGAATTAGTAAAACTCTAATGGATTTATAATTGTCGTGGGTTTTCCTAAACCAGGAGTGCATTGTGTGAAGGGAACTTGCCTTAATTTTCCTGCACTGAAGTGGAATTTTGCATTGAGTTTTACATTGAATTCTCCTGTCTTGTTCAGGACAATCACTTGGCCTTCCAAACACAGCACTGAGGAGCAGTGTGGCTGTACTGGGTGAGCGCCAACCTGGTGAGATCCCTTGTTTGGGGAGAAAAGATCCTTTCATTCCATGTTGTGGATAATCCGGAGATGGCCCTTGGGTGGAGGCTGTGCTCATGTTCTTTTCCCTGCTGGTTGCTAGAGAAATACTTTCTGTTCTGAAGGTCTGGAAATGGCATTAAGAAGTTTAATCTTTTTTTACTTTTTTTTTTTTTTAATGAGCAACAAATTACAATGAAATAAAAGAGGATGAAAATAAA